AGAGGCGGAGGCGGCGGCTCAAGGCAGCGACAGCGAGAGAAAATTAAATATTTTAAAATACTAGAAAATTATTTTAACTAGTATTAAAAATTCATGGTCCTTACAACCTCCTAGCACTCCGTGCCCCAAACAAAGGGTACACCCTTCTTCGTAAGTTGTGTAAGTGACGTCGTAATTTTTGAGAAGTCCTGAATGAACTTCCTGTAATAGCCTGCCAAACCTAAGAAACTACGAATCTCAGAAACGATCTTTGGCTGCTCTCAATCAAGTACTGCCTCTACTTTCACAGAATCCACTGCAATGCCCTCTCTGCTGATGATGTGGCCCAAAATCTAACCTCAGATAGCCAAAACTCGCACTTGCTTAGCTTAGCATACAACTGATGCTCTCGTAAAGTCTGCAATGCCAATAAAAGATGTTGCTCGTGCTCTGCTTCCGATCTCGAATAGATAAGGATATTGTCCATGAATACAATCACGAACTGGCCCAAATATGGACGGAAAACCCGATTCATAAAATCCATGATTGTCACAAGTGCACTGGTCAGCCTAAATGGCATCATAAGAAACTCGAAGGATCCATATCGGGTTAGAAAAGCGGTCTTGGGAATATCCATCTCCTGAACTCACAACTGATGATAGCCAGAACGAAGATTAATCTTCGAGAAATGCTACGCTCCCTGCAGTTGGTCGAACAAGTCATCAATCATTGGTAGTGGATACATGTTCTGCATAGTGACCTTGTTCAACCCACGATAATCTATGCACAAATGCGTGTTACCGTTTTTCTTCATAAAGAGGACTGGTGCTCTCCACGGAGAATGACTCTGACTAATAAAGCCCTAATATAACAACTCATCTAACTGGGTCTGTAGCTCCCTTATCTCAGTAGGTGCCATACGATAGGGTGCTCGGGATATCGGTGTTGTGCCCGGCTATAACTCGATGAGAACTCACCTCTCTCACAGGAGGTAACCCAGGTATGTCCTGAAAGGCATCCTGATAATCTGAGACAACTCTAGTCTCACACAAATCAGCACTCTGGTCCCTCAACATCACCTCCTCGACGTACGTCAGAAATGACTCCATAATTTGGTTGGCCTGTGAGGTCGCTACGATCAACTCAGACCCATCGGAAACCCGCAAGCTGACTATTTTAGAAAAATAGTCGATTCTAATATGGTAGGATGATAGTCAATCCATAAAGAGAATGAAATCGAACTCCAACATCCGCAAAACGATCAAATCGATGATGAACTCGGACTCATCTAGATTGATGACACATCTCCTACAAACACTCTAATAGGGATACCTCTCCTAAAGAAGTAGAGATGGATAATGATACATCTAAAGGATGTGCGATCAACTGGAGCCTATCCATAAAGATATGAGATAAAAATGTGAAGCTCCTAAATCAAACAAGATCCGAGCTGGGAAGGAATTCACTAAGAAAGTACCTTCCACTATGGGTCCACTAGCGCCATGATTACGTGGTACGATTGCATAAACCCTACCGGTGGTTGGCACCTGTTCCGCTGCTGGTGGTGGAATATATAGGTCTGTCTGACCCTAAGGAAACTCCTGAATAGCGCGAATCTGGCCCGCTGGCCCCTCAATCCTCGGAATGGCAAGTGGTGCCTCTATCCTCTACTGCTGCTAACCCTGACCACAGTTTTTCTGGTGATCGTGTCCTCGTCCTTGTAGCTGGCCCTGGCCTTTGCCCCGCTGACATCCTGCTGGTGCTTTACGATAATCCCTGGTCTTATGGCCGATCTTGTTGCAGTTAAAACATGCACCCTGAATCCTGCGATGCTGCTGTACTTTCGGATCAAGCTGTGCTCCCTTCTTAAACTGACCCTACTGTATATCAACGGACTATCTCATATCGTACTGAGTTGTGCTCATCAACGATATCCAACATGTGTATAAACAATTTCTAACTTAAGTGTAATCAGCTCAACACTTGTCAAAATCCCCTTCGGGATACTCATATGTGTACTACGATAGTATTCATGTATATTCATGTCTATATGTGTACTATCGTGAGACTCGAACCTCACGATCGCATCTCAAAACAGTG